ATGAATGCAGTTTTGACAATGAATTACTGCATGTCGACATTTTGTAATTTGCCCTTTTATATCATAAACTTTTTTTTTAATGATGCAGGGACACTTATTGGGTGGTTAAGGCACTGCTCATCAGTGGAATGTCGGAAACTGTGAAAGGAATGCTGATCAATTTCGTGGAAATGCAGCGGAAATTCGGCTACATTCCAAACGGAGGCCGGAAGTATTTCGCACGTCGAAGCCAACCTCCATATTTCATCCCGATGGTCAACGAATATGTTTCTGCCACTGGTGATCTGGAATTCCTCAGGTATTCATTTCTTTTATATACAGTATTTGTTTTTCAATGTTGACGATGTACCAAAAACTTGTACATTTTCTGAAGGACTGTACAGTAGTTTTAAATTCAACATTTAAAAAATCTTCGAAACGCCGGCCTAATTTTCTTAGTACAGTATATGCCAAAAAAATTGAAGAGAAGCCATGTGCAAAAATTGCTGGCCACAGAACTTTCTTTGGCATATTTTTTTATACCTCACCGGAATGAGTGAGTTGAAAAAAATCATTGAAATTTATTTGTGCAAGATCTAAACTTGAGTTAGAAAACAACTTATTTGCAAATAATATACTGCATATGTTATGCCTACTTTTTGTAGTTTTCATTACACTAAAAACAATTTTAAAACAAGGAATCCCTTTTTCCAGAGCACTTTTAGACTTTTAGGAACACAGAAGGTTTTACACTGTGGTCTGATTTCTTGCAGAACATTTAAAGTGATTTTAATTTTCATGCAAAAAAAAGGATCTTCTCTTTGGATTTCAGTATACTTCATATAATAAAGAAAACGAACTTCAAAAACACTGAATTCAGAAACTGTTTTGCTCCCAAAAACCATTTCATTAGCATGGTTTTCTTAATTCTTTTAAGTGAAATAGAGACAAGGCGGAGACGTACTCGAAAATTGCCAGGACAAGAAATGACACGATGCAAGAGGTTTTCTGGGACGACGCTGATGGGATTTGGTACGACTTTGATGTCCAAAAAATGGTGAGATTGAGATATTCAACTTTAAGTTTTGAAAAAAATATTGAGGATGACGCGTTCATTGGAGAAAGAAAAAATCAAAGGAATGGCAGTCGAAAAATATTCTTATATTCTGACCAATAATTTGAAATACCCAAATTTTAAATATTATAAAAACTGTTTCTTTCCTTATAGCAGATCCTTTTGAGATTTAATTCAGTTGAATAAATATCATTTATATTATTATCCATGCTGCTGTTGCATATACCTTAAGATGTTTGCATTTATACCAGCACCTGTTTGAAATTTAGGGGAAAATGTCCTTGTTTATGACACACACCCCAGTTTTCAATTGAGGAAACTGGGGTGTGTGATCAACAAGATTGAGTCAGGAAACTGAAAAAAGTAAAATAAGTTTGAAAAAAGACTCAATTGAACTTTGGTACATTTGGACTGCTGTGATTTACAGAAAAAGAATACCTGTATTAAGCTCTGAAATTATTGATAATTTGCACCACTTATTTAAAAAAAAAAGAAATTTTAACACGTTTTTATTAACTTGCTTTCTTTTCTGTTTGTTTGTCCGGAGTGAAAAGTGAAGAACAGGTATGTTCATTTATTAATAAAGTCAAACCCAATTGTTCATCAGCTTGGCCAATAAAAGCTTGGAGTTTCAGTTTATATGCAGTATGCTCTATATATTGGTACTGTATCATAAAAAGTGCATAATATGCAACCATTTCAACATTCTTATTGTAAGGAAGGTATGTTAGATTCCTTTGTGAATAACAATGAATTGGTTTTGCTGCAAGAAACAAAAATAAGGCAATGTATGTAAGCTTAGTGAATGGCATGATTTACAATATTTCAATAGATCCCAAAAGTGTCCTTCATTCTGCCTTTGAAAACAATTCATTACAATTTTCACAGAAATAAAGTGAAATTCCCCCCAGTTATAGCACTTAATTGGACTGTGAGATATTTTGTATCAATGTATTGAATAAAATTGTCCTGTTTGTCTGCAGTGGGACTTCTCCAATGCCTGGTCCCCTGTTCAGCACACTTTGGTGGAGGGGCTCAGGTTAGCCCCCAACCAGGAAGCAAATAACTTGGCCCACAAGCTGGCCCAGAAGTGGGTGTACAGCAACTGGAAAAGCTACAAGGCTTCAAACCACTCCATGTTTGAAAAGGTATGCCCTAACCCATGTTTCATTAATTTCAAAATGAACTTGACAGCAGTCATTTGAAAAAATTAGTTAATGAAGACATCATAACAGGAAGTGGGAATAATATACCTGCCAGAAAAATGATGCATTTACTCCATAATTTAGAAATCAACTTTCTGGAATATTTCTCAAGCAGAGACTTGGAGCTTTGTTAATGCTCTGTATCCTTGTGATTTGTTCTAATGTTGGGCATTCATTTATTCAGTAATACCCACAGTAAAATTATTTTACAACATAGCTGGGAACTGGAGATGGCCTCACTTTTGTAAGACTAAAATAACCATGTGCATTATTGCTGGGGACTTTGAGAATACTATTTTATAAAAAGATTGATTGATGTATACACGATTTTAGTTCAATTTCTGAAGTATAAAGGAATTCAGAGGAATCTGGAAAATATTCAAAATTCTACAAGTACAGTACAGTACTTTGAATTAATTTTATTGGACTGACTGAATGTATTTATTGATGGACAACCCTGAGAAATGTATCAAGTTCATTACCCAATGTATGCTTTTTATATTCAGTATTTACCCCAAAGAATAATTGCTATCAACTTTTCATGCACTATAATCTGCTGGTTTTTCTCCTCTCAATTATTGCCCCACAGTATGACACTATGTCTCCTGGACATGCTGGACATGGTGGAGAATATGAAGTGCAGATTGGATTTGGCTGGTCAAATGGTGTAGTGTTGGACTTCATCCACCAGTTTGGTGACAGTCTGATTATAGGCAAACCTGAGGAGGAAGTGCCAAGTTTAAGCTCTATGGTCATCCTGGCCAACTGGCTTCACACATGTCTTGTTATGTGTNATAGGCAAACCTGAGGAGGAAGTGCCAAGTTTAAGCTCTATGGTCATCCTGGCCAACTGGCTTCACACATGTCTTGTTATGTGTTTTGCAGCCATCATTGTTTCTGTGAGTATATGGTACCTGAATTAATTCATGATTTCATTTAATAAATTGAGAAATTATACCATATTCACCATCTATTGTAACAGTGTATATTTTTTGTAATTAGATTAACATGCATCATATGTTTTGCATGAAGATCATCTGTCAAAGATGTTGAAAGTTTGGCCTTCATCTCGAATATTTTTCAATAAATGAAAAAATATTTCCTAGTTATAGATTAGGTGATCAATTGAATTTATATGCTCGAATACAACGGTGATTCGAGCATAAAATTGTGCACATTTTTAGTTTATTTTCGAGAAAATCCTTAAAAACTAACATAAATTGTAGAAAATGTTCAGGTAGCTCCTGTAAGTTTAATCCGCGAGATAGAAAAGTGTTCAATGAAAATTTACTCGGAGTCCGACATCATTTTCTAGAGTGTGATTGATTTATTTTATAAATTTTCATTTTTTTATTGCAGGTTCTTGAACGAGTCCGAAGAAAGTCGCCTAAGTCATGGTCCTACGGATTTTATCGAGCGTGTCGCATATTTTTAGTCACTTCGAAACGCTAAGGGAATCATGTGTGATTTTCTGTGTACATTCGGAATAAAAGCCCGATGTATTTATTGACAAAATCCTCGCATTTGTATTTTATTCATTTGTTTGAGCCAGACGACGATCTTTTCAGGTTCATGAAAACAAATGTTCGATTAATACACAATATTTCCGCTTCACGGTTCGATCGCATTAACTCGCCAAATTTTTTTTTGCAATATGGGAGAGTACTGCATGTTACGTAACTGTACATGTATAAAAGTACACCAGCAGTTCATGTAGAATAAATGCATGCACGATTCATCGTGTTCTTAGGTTGATTCCTATATTGGTAAGATTTTTACCCCAAGTATAACTCTAGAAGTACGTCTCAAAATGTTTGCATCTTTTCTAGGAAGAAGATGAGGGAATTCATGGGTAAGTGTGCAGTAGTTTCAAATATTGTATCTAGATGTCGGCACTTCAGCAATGTGTAGTCGGTTTGGTTATAGTAGGTTTGTGGACGGATAGATGGAGGTAGCGGTTGAACATGGCTGCTATCCTCTGAGCTTCTACCCGACCGACCGAATATCAGTCATTCCGGTGTAGCAGGCAGGGCGTACTCCCCAGGTACAGCGTACTCCCCCAGCGGGAGGATTAGTCCACATCCCTGGAGTGCGATTCAGCAGAGGCTCTGCTGCAGTGATCACTTACAAAGTGGTATCTTCCACAGAATTCAGAGGAAAGTTGATTTCACAGTGATTCTTGAAGCAGCATTTACTTTGGCAAAAATAATGATGAATTCTGCAGAAATCTATTTTCAGGGGAGGCCTTGGAGCTATATCCTGGGCTTGATGGGTAAACAATTCGCCGAGATTTGATTCTGGGACATTTTCGCATGCTGCTCAATAAACGCGCTTTACCTCGTCAAGACGACGAAAATTCTTTATGATTTCTGAAACTTGTGGTTTATTTGATTGAAAATAAAGCGCGTAATATTTCCAGCGTGGTAGAGCACTCATGAATTTCTGAAATGCGATCGTAGAAGCAGCGTTACACGCGTGATTCACGCTTTATCGTAACGAAAATGAGGTACCAGATTGACTGAATTTGCAGCAACCCGTTGTCAGGTCAGCGTAACTTACAACTGGCGATGGGTTTCCTAACGAAGAAATCTTAGCCCGTGTTGGTTCAGATCGTTCATCTGGGAGCCGTCGAGATTCTCCCAACATTTCAGCAGTAGAACTCCCCTTGTTTTATTTGTCTACCAACGGCCAAGGAAAATTTTTCGCACGCCGATCGAGGGCCGAAAAAGGTTTCTGATGAATAATCCATATGCGCATGTTTCAAAGCAGTTTTTACCATCTTCAAAAGCCAATTATCAAGTGTGCCCGCCATAACCTCTCGTATGTGATAGTCATCTGAAAATTCATGCTTTTCAGCGTTGTACTACCTCTTCACCGGCCAAGGAGATGACATTGACTTCGGTTGGTTTTTGGAGGAAACATCGCCTTACATGTGGGCTGGCGTTGGTGTTGGGCTTGCCGTGGCGTTATCAGTGGTGGGAGCTGCTATGTAAGAAATTCCTTCGCTCATTTTAGATCGTATTCTCGTTGCGACATTGTCGACTTCAACCCGCTATTTGAGTAGACCGGTATCAAACCTATACATATTCTTGAAAGAGAGCACAGCATGGGTAGATTCTGAGACAACGACGATGTGTCTACCGTTCGCAGTACGTTGAATTTATTGATATGCTGCTCGACTCGTTGTTCAGGGAAAATGGGCATAGTTTTGTGATGGAATTCATTCTCGGGGGGTTTCAATTTATTTTTTAGTGGCATTTACACAACCGGATCGTCCATCATGGGAGCTGGTGTGCGTGCACCTCGCATCAAAACCAAGAACTTGATCTCAATCATCTTTTGCGAAGCTGTAGCTATCTACGGACTAATTATTGCGATTGTCATATCCGGCATGCTCGAGGTATGATTGTTTCGAACGATTTCTCCGTCATTCGTGCAATTTTTCTTCTCATTTGTATGATAGTGTCGATGTCCAGCCGGGTTTCTCCAAGTTAACCTGTTTCATAGATATTTTCCGAAAGTTTTGGACAGACAAATAATCTTTGTTTTACTTCGGAATACCAGATAGAAAGGAATAATGGATCGAAACTAGCATTTCTGAACATTTGCGAGAAATCTGCAGGAAGTTCTGTTCGCGGACAGTTCCCGAGGTGGTTCTGCGGTTGTGTTTTGCAGTACATACTCGACGATGTTGTTTGATTTTCGTTTTTCTCTCTCAATTTTTATTTTCCAGAAATTCACTGACGCGAATGTCGAATGTGATACAGACGAATGCAAACGTGTGAAGGCTGAAAATTGGTTGGGAGGTTATGCCATGTTTGGCGCTGGAGTAACAGTTGGATTCGGAAACTTGTTCTGCGGGATTGCCGTTGGCGTAGTTGGCAAGTCTCTTGATCGTGGATAGCCTTTCCGTTATGTCGTTATTATTAATGATTGATTCTTTAAAGGCTCTGGAGCAGCTTTGGCGGATGCTGCGAATCCTAATCTCTTCGTCAAGATACTAATTGTGGAGATCTTCGGGAGTGCCATTGGGCTTTTTGGATTGATCGTTGCCATTCTCCAGGTGAGGCATTATTTTGTGTGTTCTTAAAAAAATATTTCGATTGCTGTCCTTGTTCGGGAGTTCTATGGGGCGTCTTTGTGTGTATAGTAAGAGCAGTGCAGTGTTCTGTCAAAATCTTGTGAGGAAGAACTTCGAAATGTTGTTCCTCTTTGACGAGAGAAATGTTCCCGGATATCTAAGATGAAGTGAAGATTCCGGGGTGTCCTGATTCATATTTGAAGTACTGTAATTCGAACCTTTTTTTTTTCAATGCTCAAAAATTTCTATTTCGATTATTGCGTAGAAAGAAGTACATTAACTTGGTTTTTATATACGTTCAATCATGATCAGTTTGCTCAATGTCCAAAGTGTTTGATTGAATGAATCGGCGTTGATTTATTCGGCCAGCTATTCAAGCGACACCTATCTGACGCTTCAGAGTGAAACCTCAGACATGCAAGAACAGAAGGGAGAACACAGTGACTGATAGGATTAGCATTTGGCCCATAATTCATTCTATAATCACATGTTGAGACGAAACATTTCATTCGACATGATTTTGTGTTCGCAGTTGTCCCACGTGAAGATGGGCGACAAGGTGTGAAACTTCTACGCACATGGACCCGTTTCATCCCACCTTGGATTCATTCCTGATTCTTCTGTATGTGTGTGAGTGAATGTGGATGAGCGAGGATTGTTGAAATTGTGCGCTGAATTTGGAACTAGGTCCGGTCAATTGCTCCATATTTTGGGATTCATGTGTGCAATGTGTCCATTCCTCATTCCAGATGCAGCGATGTTTTTTTTTTTTCATGTACCCAGGGCTTTTACAATGCATGGATGTTGAGATAGAGAACTTATATGTGGGGGACTAGTCACTTTTGACTGCATTCTATCATCGCGAGGGTTCTAAAGCATGTATGATGTGAGAGGACGAAAATACATTAAGGGCCTCCAAAAAACAAATTCTTGAATAATTTTACTACGAAACCAACTTTCCTGACCCTGTAAGTACTGCAGTACAATGCTTACCAATTTGCCAATTACTTGACTTGCAGACAGTGTAATCCTGAAACTTAAGCCTCAATATTTGGCAATTGCCCTCAATATGGACACTGCCTATACATTTTTAGAAAACATAAACTTATTTTTAGGACATGTTCTCACTGGGGAACACACTGTACACAGATTTTGTCTACAATGGTTTTCTCTGTAAAATATTTCTTTCTGGCCAATGGGGTCTGTATGAATCCTATGGAACTTTTGTGTGGGGAATCAATGAATTCTTTCCTAGTCCCCTGAAATTTGATGTTGAGAGGGTCCCTGATGGTATCTCTTGGACAAATTGAGGGGCTACTTTTTGCAATAATTTGTATAAAGATCCTTGAAATTTTCCTCTGAGTTTATTTTCCAGCGCCTGCATTATCATTTCGTTTTGCTTCGCCTTTCAGTATATCCCTCCTTATATCCACTTTGTAATGTGTCAGAAAACAGCATATGTCTTTGGCTGTGTGATTGAACATATTTTTCCATTCAAGCTCATTTTCATGCCAAAAGGGGTTGATTCTATGTTGGTTTTCACAGGTGACATGTAATTCCAATATAAAGCATACACAGTGAGACCCCAAGATGCAGACATAATTGGTGTGTCAAGAGTGTCCCTAAGTTGAAATTTCCCAAAGTTGAGTCTCATTTTCCCTTGGACTTCCATTAAATAATTTTTAATTGGTGTTTTATGTTCAAAATATTCACCATAATTCCATGAAAATACAAATTTTCTCCCAATTTAAACTGACTCAATCAATTTATTTCAACACAATATAGACATACAGGGAATAGAATAATGATACCTCTGCACAGTACTTGAAAATGTTAGCATATTCTCTGTAAAAATAACATTTGACTGAAGAAGAGAGAAGGGAGTCCCTCTATGCTAAAGTTATTTTTTTTTAATTAGCTGAATGGATGGTAAATTGGTGAGAGAAATGCCCAAGAACTTTTCTTGCATCAATTTTAGGTTTGGAAATACAGAATCTGTTTTTTGTAATTTGGCCTGAAATGTATTTGCAATTTTATCAAAGAATGTCCGTATGTTGAGTCAGTGTTGGGCCTCTTTTATTAATTTTTTATGGTAAACTAAGTGTCCCTGTGTTGAATTGTCTGAATGTTGAGATGTCCACATGTGGGGGTTTCATTGTACAGTAAGAAGAGAAATATTCCCAGAAAACCTTTTACCCCAGAAAGAGCTTTTTGTCATTCATGGATCATTATTTTTTAGCTTTTGCATCCAGTCACTTTTGAATCTCTTTGAAATTATAATTCTGGACATCCATTTGAAAGATTGTTGAATATTTTGGCCGTTATTATTCCAATATCCCATTAGCTTTAAAATTGGCTTGTTTGGTCATTCATGATTGAATTAAACATGCTATGGATGAAGTATGATATCTTTCATTTGGTTTCCAGAAACTGGATCAAAAATAAAAATCAATCCTGAAAACCTGTGGCGCGTTTTGGATTAAAAAGAAGAATCTCCCACTTGTTATACTAGTTTGTGAGAGCCAAGTTATTTTATGACCTTTGTCCAATATATACAGCAGTACAGTATATTCTTGCGTCTCAGTTCATGCTGTACAGGTGATAAATTAAAAAATGTCTGCTAATTTGTGTCTATATCAGCCTTTGTCCTAAATATTCCAAGCGAATGAATAATGAGGTTCCGAATTGCAACATCTCTTGGTGCTGTTTTGAAGATCCTGGGGAAAATCGAAGGTTACTTATCTTGGAAAAATGATTCAACAAATATTAGGCAACCATCGCAAAGCAGAGGAGAATCCGGCTGTCGTTTGATGGTGATGGTCATTCTCAGGTTATTTCTTGGTCAGTGAAACCGAATTCTACAAGCAGCATCGTTCAAAGGTCTTCGTCAATTTTCTGAAAAAAAAAAATAAAAATTGCTTTCCAACAAGAGAGTTTTCTCTTGCCTAGAACATGATGGACACGAGTGGACGACACGCTTCTCCGGTGAGTACGTTAGAAGGAAAAAATTCACCTTCAAACAATATTGAAACGAAATACGGTGAAATGATTATTGGAGTGCTTTTTTCTTTCTTGAATTTCGTTGGTCAGACTGAAGTTTATTTTTCTGAACTTTTCTTCGTGGATGCGTGAATTGGATTTTTACTCATTATTATTATTTTAAGATATTTTTTCAAGCCTGCGATTTTTTATATCTCACTTTGAAATGGAAAGACAATAAAAGGCTTATGAATGAAAATACACTTCAGATCATGATTGAAGAAATTATGTTGTCTAACAATTGCACATGTTTTATAGAATTGAAATGAGTTAACGTGTTACGGAATAATGTATTTTAAATACAGTTGTGAGACCCCAAGGTGTGGACATTTAATTGGTGCATCAAGAGTGTCCCTAAGTCAAAATATCCCCAAGTCAAGTCTCATTTTCTCTTAGACTT